GTACCATGCTGCTAACAGGACCACACCGCTAACAGTACCATGCTGTTAACAGGACCACACTGCTGGCAGTACCTTGCTGCAAACAAGACCACGCTGCTAACAATAACAGTGTTTTTATAACACTATTTTTATTTCAAATGTCTTATTGTTTTTGTCTGTACTATGTTGCCTGCCTAAAACAGGCGTCTCTTGTAAATGAGTCCTCTTGACTCAGTGAGACTAACCTGTATAAATAAAGGTTAAATTAAAATTAAAATCAGTGCACCATTCTAAAGCCCGCCTCTCAATGTACATCAACTATTCTGAGACGTGCTGCTGCCTTAAAATTCATGAACTCCTTTTTTTTTTTTTATTCACAAACTTCTTCAGAATTAAGGGTGTAATGGAGGGCAGATTTGTTTAAGTGTCTGATGGTGCTTTACCAGGAGCAGGGTGTGGTGAAACCACATATCAGCCTTTAACACACACTGTTTATGTCACACCCTGCAAGCGTGTGCCAATTGACCTAAAACCTCTCGTTCCTTTTCTCATCCGTTAAACCTCAAATCTCCAAATAACATCACTATCAGGACGGTCGTCATTTATTGTGATCCCATTTTGAAGAACTTCCAAAAAAAAACGTCCAACCTAAACTAGAAAAAATATATACAGCTCTGGAAATAAAGAGTATTTAAATGTATCTGGGATGGTAGAGCTCATAAGGCAGGACGAATAAAATGTTGAGATGACAGAAATCATTATTACTATTTAGGCTAAATTGTTTTAAAAACAAAATAAGTGTGAGGAAAAAAAATCTAAAGTTCATGACGATGCATCAAAAATGTTCCCAGAAAGAGTTGTTTTTGTCAAAGCTACAGCTTTCAGGCCTGTTTTTTATTTATTTATTGTTTTTTGGTCAGTCGTCGTCGTCTCTCTGTCGGAGGCGCCTGGATTTCCCATTTTGAGTCTTGTTTTTCCTAAAGGAAGCCGGTCCGCTCTCCTCCCCGAGCGAGGTGATGATTCGTTCCTTGAATTTAGGTTTCGGTTCTGGTGGCAGGTCGTCCAGAGCGCTCGCTGTATCCTCCTCAACCTGAGGCAGCTCCAAGTCCACACTCGCACTGCGGAGGAGAATAACATTCACTTCCTGTTGCTGCCTGCACGTTAATCTGTTCACCTAATGTTTGATACTCACTATGGATCCTCTTCTTGTCGGACTTGCTCCCATGCTCCGTACGGATTGGCAGCTTTGGGCTTTCTTAGTCTAATCTCCACTGGTGTCATCTTTACTTCTGTCCTCTCGGGTTCTGCTACTGTGCTTTGAGTTTCTTCTTCTGGTTTCATCTCTTTCTCTTTTGGAGCATCAGCGTTACATTTATCATCTTCTTGGTTTTCCAAAGGCTCATTTTCCGCTTTTCTTTTCTGCGAACACAAACAAGAGGATAAATGATCAAGTTAGCCGTTTTTTAATAGAGTTTGTTAGCTAAAGTTCTTTATTCAGTGCCAAGTCTCACCCTAAAGTCGATTTTTGGGACTTCAGGCATTTGGTTGGCTTGCTCAGTTACTGTTGCCTGCTGGGACGCCTCGTTGGAGCTCTCTCCTTCAGACAGCGACTTCGGCTCAGGAGCTATAGCTTCCTCCTGGCTCTCCTTATCCTTGCTTGACCCAGACGCCTCATTGGAAGGAAAATCTGCTGGTTTCTCCCAAATGGACTCTTTGAGAGGGGAGGACGAACAAACACAATCACCAGCTGTTACCGCCATACACAACACTGCAGGTCAGATCAATTAAAGCACGGGTTCCCAACTGTGGTCCTTGAGGAACACCATCCTGCATGTTTTAATTGTTTCTCTGCCCTGACCAGCTGTTACCAACATAAACATGGTATGGTATAAAGTTTATTCATTTTAAAAAATACAAAACAATTCCATAACAATATAACATCACTGCAGGTCAGATCAATTAAAGCAG